ATTTTTGTATTTTTCTGTTTCGTATAATACAAAGGATCGTGACTCATAGACACCAACTCAATCTGGAGTTTTCTATACTCGTTATTTATGAAGGGGCAATAGGGTCCCCATTTGATGTCTATTATGTAAACACTATCTAATCCAATGACTCACTAGACATTCGTATCTTTTTTCCTCTACTAACATAACGCTGTGTTTGATATTTAATTATTCGTAACTCTCTGTTTTCAATTGTTGATGCAAAAAGTGGTAGGCTGGTGCACAAAGCTCCTGCTATGCGCGGAGTTCGGAGAATGACCGGACTACAAGGGTCTATTGTAAGCAGTTTACGGCTTGAACCCGTGACATCCTAATGACATGGCAGCAACTTTACCAGTTACGCCAAGGTTCTCCTTCAAGTTGTTGATACAACTTTCTGAATTTGGATTTGGTTGTTTCTTAAATTCATAAGATTTTTTCTTACAACTTAAATGGGTTTAAAAAACAATTATGTAGAACTTGTCGGACTGAATTACTCAAATGATCACTTAACAATTTGAAATTACATAATAAAGTTATTTATAACTGAAAAATTACAATCGCACTTAGAAGGTCACCCAACTTGATTCTCTATTTACTCTATATGACTTACCTATAGAATATATAAATTTTCATAAGGAGGTAAAAAATAAAAAATAATTTTCAAGTATATATAATGCTTGAAACAAAATAATTGAGCAAAATTTTCAAGCATATGAAATGTAAATAAGTCAAATGTACTTAGAAAATGTTCGAAAAAGTCACAATAAAATATGCTAAAAATTATTTGCTCGTGTTATATAATTATGATGAAGAGATCAATATTCAATACTAGGGGTGTACATGGACCGGCTTGATTCGGTTTTTATCAAAACCAAACCAAACCAACTATATCGGTTTGGATTGGTTCGATTTTGTCGGGTTTTTCGGGTTTTTTTTGTTACATGAATATTATTTCTCTTACTTTGTTAAAATTATAGATAAAGCTTTGATAAGTGAATATATGGTTAGTAAATATTGAAAAAATTGACAAACATATGATCTATTAAAATATTCTAATGGGAGAATTTTTTTAGTAACACATGATAGTTATTTTCTTAGTCGTCTAACAGTAGTTGTTCGTTAATGTACGTTTTCAAGGTTAAAACATGAGAGGATCCCAAATCTTTCTACATTTTCTAAAGAAAATTCAATATAAGATCTTAAAATATAAATAAAATTTATATATTTATATGTCGGTTTGGTTCGGGTTTTTTTACTCAATACCAAACCAAGTCAAACCAAACCTAGTCGGGTTTTTTAATCGATTTGGTTTGATTTTTCGGTTTGGTGCGGTTTTCCGGTTCGGTTTGAACACCCCTATTCAATACTACTCGAGTTACTTTTATCCAAAAATATTATGTATTAGACAAACAACTATGTCCTATATGTAAAATAGTAATGGAATGTGATGGGTCCGGATCCAAGTTTATGAATTCAAGTTCGAAATTCTATCATAATTTATTCGATTTATTAGGTTAGAAATTTATTATTTGTACTTATGTAATAAATTTAAAAAGCTACATTTGCCTCTGATTACTAACGAAAAAAACAAGTACTATCATTAAGTTGTTTGACTTTTAAGATTGTGTTTGTATTCAAATAGGTGTGAGGTGTTGCAAATAGAATGTAAAAGCAAAATTAACCGACAGTAAAAAATATAAAAAATAAAAAGAGAATGAGAATTCTTAAGAAATGAATAAAAGAAATATGAAAGACAATCTTATGTATTGGCAATACAGTAGTACTTGGTGGAAAGATTTTTGTATCTTTTAATTTGTAGTTTTTTACTTTTATTTTAAAAAATAACAAATCATTATTTGTATTTCTAACCAAAATTGTATTTTGAGACGAAGCAAAAAATAATACTCCATATATATTAAACCTAAAAAAGAATCATATTTGGCAATAAAAGGCTATCATCAAAGAATCTAGATTATAGAGTTAGTGTTCGATCAACGATCACAACAAAAGTTTTAGCTTCAATTTTTCACGTGGAGACTATCAAAATATTCTTCTACAAAATATCTTCAAATCAAAAAATTCTTACTAAATTCTTACACGTATATTCAGTCAATCCATGCTACAATTTTATTGAAATTAAAAACAAATACGAGATACAAGATAATTAACTAACAATCGGGGTATGATTAATCGCAAAAAATAATTCATGAAAAATTAAGATATTCTGCATACTAAATAGTGCAAAGCTAAATGAAAACACCATTGATCCTCAGGGTGTAACGGAGGAAAGGAAAATGAGCTTTTGACACAATGGACTAGTCTATTAAAAATAATTACAGCCGCAAGCTAAATATATATTATTTATAAAGAAAATAATATATATGTATATATATTATATTAATATAAAAAGATATTTGTACGCTATTATTTTAGGAAGTGACTAAACTGTATAAAAATCCTAAAAGTTGTCCATGAGACACTTCTGCTTTTTCGACCCGTTTATTCACGTGGGTGATATCTTGTGGGGAGAAATTCAAAACTAGCCAGTGGTCATTCAAAACTAGCCATAGTTTCAAAAGTAATTGAAATTTAGCCACTTTTCACGTAAAGATAAATCAGAACGAAAACGCTATTCAAAATCCGGAAAAATACTCCAGTATAATATACTGGAGTACCTGATTATACTGGAGTACCTGCATAAGTATATTGGAACTCCAGTATAATATACTGGAGTTCTAGTATAATATACTGGTCCAGTATAATATACTGGTGCTCCAATCTTCAGTATATTATACTTGAATTTTCCGCATGTTGGAGTTCCAACATAATATGCTAGAAGTTCATACACAATTGCACCGACCTCTAGTATATCATGCTGGAACTTTCCGTGTTGCAGTAACATAATGGCTATTTTTGAATGACCAATCCAAAAATTAATTAGCTCTGCTGTTTTTACTATCTTGTGGGCTCCATATGTTCACGTGAGAAGCCCTGTCACTATCTTACTAATGGGTTAAGAAGATATGATATTAGTGAACATTTTAATATTTGAGTTGGTGGGCTATGATTTAGCCCTGGCCCATTAATTAGCTTTTTGTAGGACAAAAGGAGTTGGATTTGGATCACCCAATTGATTGGATCCAAATCCATAATTTGATTCTCATTATCTTTGACTGTGATAATGTACGGAGATTTTGCACTAATTGGATTGAGATTACACCATCTTGTAAGTCTACTACAACAAATACTAACATATCAAGTGGGGCGTGCGGAGGGGTAGAGAGTAATTAATTCAATGTTGAAATGTCCTCATATTATCTCTATTATAATCTTTGTACATTTTTTCTACTATAATATTATTGCACCTTAACCCTACTTTGTGTAAGTCCGTTATTTTCGATAGAACCTCAGCTCAAAACAAGCACGCATAAACACAACAATATAGAGAAAAGCTATGCAGTAGTGGAAAAGTAATCCATTACACTTGTAATCCATTTTAATTTTTAGCCAAAAATAGAAAGAAAGAAAAAAAAAAGGTGGAACGACATTTTTGTGAAAGGATCAGGCCGGGAGAAATTCAAAAATAGCCGATTTATAAGGGGTCATTCAAAAATAGCCACAGTTTCAAAAGCAATTGAAATTTAGTCACTTTTCATGTAAATATAAATATGAACGAAAATACTATTCAAAATCCAGAAAAATACTCTAGTATAATATACTGGAGTTCTCCAATATAATATACTGGAGTTCCAGTATAATATACCGGTCCAGCATAATATACTGGAGATTGGAGCACCGATGCTCTAATCTCTAGTATATTATACTGGAGATTGGAGCACCGATGCTCCAATCTCTAGTATATTATACTGGAACTTTTCGCGTGTTGGAGTTCCAACATAATATGTTGGAAGTCCATACACAGGTGCACCGATCTCCAGTATATAATACTGGAACTTTTCGTGTTGCAGCAAAATAGTGGCTATTTTTCAATGACTTTGCAAACGCTGGCTATTTTTGAATGACCAATCCAAAAACTGGCTAGCCCGTGCTATTTTAACGATCAGGCCCTAAGAATTGGGCTTATGGATTTCACACTTCAAAAGCCCATATTCCTTTTCGCCGTTTGCGTTGACAACAAGCAAATGGATTCCAATTTGGGACCCAAATTCGAATTGATTATGCCGTCCAATTTCACATGACGCCGGAGTAGCTGTCTTCTCGCCGTCAAATTCCCCTATTTTTCTCCGGCGTAATTGAACTGTAAGTTTACTCTTTTTGTCTTTCATGACAGATATTGTAATTGTTAAACACGAATTGTTAGATGAATGATATGCCTTTTGCCCTCTGAATTACCTGAAGGAGCCTCAAGTTCAATTTGGAGTAGTTCTGTGACTTTTACATGTTTGCTTGCACAGTCAATTTTTTTTGCTTCTGATGTTTTATTAATCTGTCTTTTCAGTAAAACTAATTAATTTTTTATCACCTTTGAATATTAGAGAGCTATATTAGTAAGATTTTACCTTTGTGCATGCATTGAGAGCTTGTAAGGGGTGTGAGGCCAGTGGCTGAGCTAAAAATTCATACAATGGGATTAAAAGAAATACTACAGTGTCACACCTAGGATTTGAGATATAACCAAAAAAAAAAATTGTTTTTACCCTATTTATGCAGTGCAATTTTCCATCTGAAGGGGATTCAATCTTGGCTCCCCTTACCCTGTGTCGGATCCTCCATAGCTTTTGGAGGATCCGACACACTGGCGACATTTTTGAAGGATCTAAGCAACATAGGTTTGCGGCTAATCTAGTCGGTCTTCTTTCTTTGGATTATATGATTTATTTTGTCTCAGTAAGCTGAGATTGGGGACTTCTCTGCAACAGAATTTCTTCATGGTGTATCCTCTCCTGATACAATACTAGGAGGTCAGAAACTACGATCCAAAATGAGAATGAAAGAAATAGAAGGAAAAGGAAGTGTCAGTACTGAACTTTCAAATTTTAATATTAAAAGGAAAAAAATGTTGAAAGGCTAAGTTGAAAAAAAAAGGATATTAGGTGAGTTTAAATTGCCAGCAATTAGAATGGTGTTCTCAAACCTAAATCTTACATAAAGTGTAATGTAATGCTTTCCTTTGTGCCCTTCTATCCTTCATTATGCTGCTCTAGTTTAACACTTTTAAGCTGGTTAAGTTTCAGAACATTTGCCTATTTTGCGAAAATTAACGCCTTTGATGTTAATAAACAACTATGAAATGCTCTTAATTTTTACGTTAACTATTTCCTTCTCATAACTTTCCCATTTATTTCCTTCATTTTTGTGTGTATGTGGTCTAAGCGGTTAGTTGCTTAAATAATGTGAATACCATCCTCTGTTCGTGACTTGATATTCTTTTTTCCAGACAGTTTACTGAAAAGTTAGATAACATGGGTGATGCAATTGATTTAACTGGAGATGGAGGTGTTATGAAAAAAATAGTGCAACGTCCGAAACCTGATGCAATTGCTCCCTCAGAGAGTCTTCCTCTTGTTGATGGTATGGGTCGCATAGATAGCTTTGGGCATATGACATTAAATGTCTACATTGTTTCTGTTTTCTGTTGTCCGTCTCTGTTGTATTCACTCTTGCATTTTCATTTTGGCATGTCTCTTACAATGGACTACTTATATAGTTATTAGGATTACACTTGAATGCATGGTGAGCCTTTACTGTGTAGCTATAGCTCTCATGCCATTACTTCCTTGAACGATGCTGCTTGAGACTGTAGATACATGCCGTGTTTTCCTTCATTGATATGCTCAATAAGCACCTCTCTCAAACATTGTTGTAAAGAATCCAACCTCTACTATCATAGAACCTAGACAGAACAAGATGCGTAGAACGTTACTTTGTAGGTTTTGTACAGATATCATTGCTTTGCAAGAGGAGTGTTGTAGTTACTAATTACTGCCTTTTTACAAAGGCAAGTGTGCTCCTTATAAAATGAAAAGAAGAAATCTCCTGCAAAACAATTGCTTAATTTATTGTAGTAAATAGAGAAACTATAGCTAATTCTGATTTGGTTGGCTGTAGAACTATATGCTAATGTTGAAAAGCGAAATAGGTCTTCATTCTACTAAACGTTAATGTTTGAAGAACGAAATATGGGGTAAAGAAAGAAAGGTAGAGTGGGAGCTTTGAGATAGTTGAAAAGGGTGTAAAGATTGAGAATTTTAAAGCAGCAAGTCCTCAAAAGTCACTGTTAGCTCGTTTAATACAGTTTCTGCTATAAGTTAGGCCTCAATTGGGAGCTCCAGCTACTCTACTTCCATAGTCATGAAATCCTGCAGATAATTCAAATACCACAATATCCTTCCATCCCTCACTCAAGCATGATCATTATTTGATTTTGACTAACTGTTAAGATAAATGTTCTTTTTGACAATAAACTCATAATTTAAGGTCTTCTTTTTTTACTGAAAAAGTCTCCAGAATTGTGTCCTTCCACTTTTGAACTGTAAAATTACACGTTTACATGCATATGCAGACAAGCTTCTAGATTTTCTTATTCTGGCAATAGTTGAGACTGAAAAATTTTAGGCACCGACCAACATTTTTGATTTCGTTAACCATAATTTTGTCCCTGGATTGACTTGTAGTGTGGCCCAGTGCGTGCCCCACATAAGAGCTCAAGAATAATGGAAAATGCTTTTTATTTTTGCTTAATGACAATTTTGGTGAATTAATTTTCTTCTAGCAACATATGAATGAAAAACAGGGATGAGGTTCAGTTTAAACTTAATACTCTTTTGTGATCCATATTTTGAAAATGATTAATTTGTCCTCTCCATGTATCTTGTTTCAGTGATCGGTCATCTCCAAATTTACAGTTTCTCAATTTCAACATGTGCATATTTCTCTTTAGTGGTACCGGAAATAGCTACATTTTCCTGGTTGAGAGTCGGCACATTAATCTATTCCTTTTGTTTTTCGGTATCAAAACAGTTCATTATGAAGGCACTCTTGCTGAGACCGGTGAAGTATTTGATACTACCCGTGAAGATAATACAATTTTCTCCTTTGAGATTGGTACTGGTTCTGTTATTAAGGCTTGGGACGTTGCACTGAGGACCATGAAGGTCAATAAGCTCTCTGACTTGTGGTGGTTATACATCAAGTTTGAATTAGTTTTCAACTATTTTCCTTTTGATCTCTCAGGTTGGGGAAGTAGCTGTAATTACCTGCAAGCCAGAGTATGCCTATGGTAGTGCAGGATCCCCACCGGATATTCCCCCCGAGTAAGTTAACTCTGTAATTTTTTTACATGCTGCAAGCGCGTCTATCAATCAATGTCTGGTAGTCCACTACCGTGAAGGTATTAGGATTTTTTCTTTCCTCCACTATGCTTCCCTAGATTGGACTCCTTTCTACCTATTTCAAATCCTCAGCCTTTTTCTTTGTAGTGAGAAATCACCCCATCTATCCTTATAGAGTTCAATCGCTAAACCCCTTTTCAACTATCTCAAATAGCGCACTAGCCGTAAGAGAAAGAGGTGTCGAATACGGCCACTCATCCGCTGAGCTGGCCAAAAGAAGCAAGCAAAGCGTCTTACTCTAAAGAAAAAGCATATTCCTATTCTAGAAATCCTGCAAACTATTAATCGAAGTACTGAAGAAGGGAACTCAAGCGCCTTCTCCTGATCCCAACATTCATATATACTCTTTTCAAAAGTGGAGGAGAAAGAATAATGTTTCTGTATTAGGAGAATGGTATAGGTCCACCTATATTTTGAACCATGTAAAATAAAGCCTCTCTACTAAATGGCTTCACTAAATGGAGCTGGAGTCTAGGATATTGTGCATTGCCTTCAGCACCTGGACATCATTCAGAACTTATTTTTACTATTAAATGATAAAGGTTTCATTTCTACAGGTTTTCTTTTAGAAAATAAATACTTGTTTCTTTAGCATTACTTTACCTGATTTTTTTTTTGAAAAAAAAAGATGTTTCTTTAGCATTTGCATCTCATCAAGTCATTAGGTCACCAAATTCCTGGACCTTCGGGCACTCTAAACAGTTAAAGGAAGTACGAGGACGTTGATTCATGGCAACACAATCAATGTTTTGGGCTGGTAGGGGCGGTGTTCTTTTGAAGTGGTAATCTAATTGTTGGTTTTGAAACATCTTAATACAGTGCAACCCTTGTTTTTGAGGTGGAGCTCGTGGCTTGTAGACCACGTAAAGGTTCTAGTATCAGCAGTGTTTCAGATGAAAGGGCTAGGCTGGAGTAAGTTCTCGCTCTTTCTCTGCGCTATTAGCTTGAAAATCATGGTTTATTCTCTGTAAGAGCCTTTGTTTATATCCTTAAAAAACAACTGAATGGAATTTCCACAAAACAATCGGTACTGTATTAAACAGGGAGCTAAAGAAGCAAAGAGATATGGCAGCTGCAGCTAAGGAGGAGGAGAAGAAGAAGAGAGAAGAAGCAAAGGCAGCGGCAGCTGCTCGTATCCAAGCCAAACTTGAAGCAAAGAAAGGAAAAGGAAAGGGCAAAGCAAAGTAAAACCCGATATGTATTATATGATATATACGTATAGACCGACGAATAGGACATGGTATCTAGATCTTAGTATACCAGATGTTTAAATATGCTAAACTTGTAAGCTTTATCATTTCCTTGATCGAGAAGTATTTCTATGCTTTCAAGTTGTTAAATCTTTTGGCATCTCTCCATAGTTTATACAGGAAGGATATTTGGTTAATCTGTTTAAGCGTTTTACAGAGCATATTTACAGCTAACAATTGATGGTTTTAAAGCTCTCAAATAATCGGGTATTTTAAGAGCCTGTTTGGAAAGCCACCCAGTAATTGGATTTGGGTGTAATTATGCAGTTTGGCATGTTTGTTTGGCCAAGTAATTACTTGGTCAGTATGGAATTGAATGGTAAATGGAGGGGTGTAATTACTCTTTTCAATTCTCAGGGGGAGGTGAGAATTGGTGGTAATTACACTGTGTAATTACAAGGTTGCTTTTTAGTTTCTTTCCTTTTTCTTTTATTTTAATTTATTTTCTTTATAATTTTTTATTTCTATTTTTTAAATTTTATATTTACTTTTATTTTTTTTTTGAAATTATAAAATATATTTCTCTTTGTACATTATTTATCTTTTATTTTTCTACCTTTACATCTTGTGATTCCATGTTAATTGCTTATATTTTGTAAGTATCTAAACAAAATATTGTTAATTTGGAAAATATATATAAATTATTTTAACAATATTAGTAATAAATATATGATTACTAATTAATGCATATTCACGAAAATATATATATATATATATATATATATATATATATATATATATATATATATATATATANATACTTATAAAACTTTATAGGTATATATTTATTATATTAACTTTTAAGTTTTGATAATTACTTCATTTAAAATTTAATCTAACTGTGCAATTACACTCGTGCAACCAAACAGTAAACTTATAATTACACTGCGACAAACAAACAAGTCGTCGTAATTACATAACTGTGTAATTACTAGGCTGTGTAATTACACCAATTCTAATTACCTGGTGGCTTTCCAAGCAGACCTGGTGGCTTTCCAAACAGACCCGAAATGTTGCTTATAGTCTAATGCTCGTGAATATAAGTCTTAGCATTGTGGCTCAGTTAGATTACGACTATTCACAGGCTAATATTGATCAGAAGAAAATGTGCGCTCAGTTCAGATAATTCCTTTCTCATTTCAATAACAAGGAGTGAATCGGCCAACAACAACAACAATCTAGAGATCCCACAGGTGGGGTCTGGGGAGGGTAGTGTGTATGGAGACCTTACCCCGACTTCGGAGGAGTAGAGATGCTATTTTCGGTAAACCCTCGGCACAAGAAGGAAACAGACAGTGTATCAGTAACAGCAAAGGAATCCAGAAAGATAACACCAGCAACGCAATAACCAGAAAATAGAAAGCAAAGTAATAACACTAAGCAGTAACAGCGGCACAGTACTACAGACGCAAGGGAATAATATGTACACAAAGGGCCACTAAACATACCACAGCCTAACTTACGACCCTAATGAAGTATTAAGAACACAACTGGAGCCACTAGCAGCCTAAAACAAAACACTATCATACTAGCCTCATATCTCCTAACCTACAACCCTAATGCTCGACCTCCACAACTTTCTATCAAGGGCCATGTCCTCGGAAATCTGCATCTGCACCATGTTCTGCCTGATCACCTCTCCCCAATATTTCTTAGGCCGCCCTCTACCTTTTCGCATACCCGTCAAAGTCAGTTGTTCACACCTCCTTACCGGTGCATCCAGGTTTCTCCTCTTCACGTGCCCGAACCATCTAAGCCTAGCTTCCCGCATCTTGTCTTTCATGGGAGCCACGCCCACCTTCACTCAAATATCTTCATTCCTAATCTTATCTAGCTTAGTGTGCGCACACATCCATCTCTGCAACTTTTATCTTCTGGGTATGAGAATTTGACTGCCCGACACTCTGCACTATACCACCGCTCTATAGAGCTTTCCTTTAAGTTCCGGAGGTACCTTCCTGTCACACAGGATACCAGACGCTAGCCTCCATTTCATCTACCCCACCTATACAGTGCGTGACATCCTCATCAATATCCCCATCCCCCTGTATAATTGACCCCAGGTACTTGAAGCTCCCTTTCTTGGGGATGACTTGAGAGTCAAGCCTCACGTCCATGCCCGCTTCACCCGACACACCACTGAACTTGAACTCTACGTATTCAGTCTTAGTCCTGCTCAGCTTGAAATATTTAGACTCAAGGGTCCGTCTCCAAACCTCCAACCTCTCCTTAACATCGCCTCACGTCTCATCAATCAGAACTATATCATCATCAAATAACATACACTATGGCACCTCCCCTTGAATATGGTGTGTCAGTGCGTCCATCGTCAGAGCAAATAAGAATGGGCTGAGTGCAGATCCTTGGTGTTGCCCCATAACCACCGGGAAATGCTCCGAGTCGCCCCCCACTGTCCTAACCTGAGTCTTAGCTCCATCATATATATCCTTAATCACCCTAATGTAAGCCATCGGAACACCTTTCACCTCCAGGCATCCCCGGAGAACTTCCCTAGATACCTTGTCATAAGCTTTTTTTTAAGTCAATAAACACCATGTGCAAATCCTTCCTCCTAACACTACAGTTTGATTTGTAATGATCAGCTTAAATGTACAGTCCCCACTTTCCCTTCTTAATTGGCACATAAGGATAATTCATGCAAACAAAAAGTGCAAATAACTACGGGATGTAATACTTCTTCTGTTAAAGTTTACGCGAACTTATTTGTTTTTTCGATCTCTTTAAAAAAGAATAATCTCTTTCTGAATTTAGAAATAATTTAACTTAAACTTTTAATTTACCCTTAGTGAGAAATTTTTATTGTCAGGCAAATACTTTGGCATATTTAACACTACAGATTTTAAAGAATTACAACCATACAAATGGTATGGTTTGTTTAGGATCATAAGTTTTAAAGTCTTCGTTTCTTTCTTATATTCCGTGCCTAGTTGAAAAGGTTCACATAAATTAAAACGGATGGAGCATATGCCATTGTTCGAACAAACAAATCCAACTAATAGCCTTGCCTTGTATGTAACGATCATCAATCACTTATTGGGCCTATGTGGTAGAAGGGCCCACTTCACAAGGGCGTGTATAAGGCCAGGGATTACTTTCATCAACATAGCAGCTCAACATTCATGTGAATTTTCCTCTCTCCCTTCTCCGAGACATATCTAGAATTTAAATTTTATGGGTTTGAACTTCGTAATTCTATCACTGAGTTCAAGATCTATTATGTATACCTATTTAATGAGCTCTTAAAACATGTATAGTGTTTGAACAAAGACTGGGTTTAGGTGAACCTATACAACAATAACAACATACCCAGTGTGATCTAACAAGTAGGATCTGGGGAGGAGTAGCTTTCATTCTATCGAGCAATTCGTGCAAGCTTTTTCCTAGTTTCATTGAAGTAAAGTCGTGGTCCAAATGTTCATTAAGATGCCAAATAGCTACTTATTCTTCCAAAATGTTCATTAAATAGAGACAAATCCCAAGATTTAAGGCCCTTTGATTCCGTTTAATAGCAAAAGCCAAGCTATTAGCGTCCAACAGAAAACTAATTTGTTGTAATCACATGGCACCATATCAATCTTTAGTTATAATTTGTCATTCCCTGGATGCTTAATTATCTTCTAAACAATCAGAGATTACAAAATAAAAAGATTTTTAAAATATTATTGACTGACCCTTTGGTAAAATACAATTTCTTTTGCCAGAAAAGTACATACTTTCGGCCATTTGCTATTGCTAAACTAGTACTCGGTGCAGACACTCCTAAACAAGGTACTATCACTTTAATATATAACGATTAAGATTAATTATTTGATTTAGAATAAAAACCAAGTGCGAGTAAGTGCTAAAATATTAACTGTAAGCTGCAGATATAGTATTTTCCCAAAAATATTCGGACAAAATACAAATCCAATCCAACCACGCTGGAAACAAATTCTTTTGACAATGGCGCCTACAATATTCAGACATTATGCGTTATTTTTGAGAAATAAAAGGGATAAATAAAGAGAGTATGCCTTATGTTTATCATCTACTTTTCTGTTTATTCTTGTCAGCTATTTGGTAAGACTAAAGTTGCTACCACAACATTCAAAGTCCTAGATGCAACTCAATTGACTGGAATACAACACTATAAACATTAGCTCAAGAGGCAACACAAATTTGCACCTTTAACTACAAGAGAACCCAGACATTCCTTTAACCGGAGGTCTAGAGGTCTCAGGTTCGAACCCTGTGTATAGAAAAATCCTTAGTAGGTAGTGCTTCCCCCTGAATGGGGTCCTACACGGAGTGAATCCAGATATAGTCGAGCTCCAATGCAGGTACCGGATACCGGGTGGGAAACCCAAAAAAAAAACACCTAAACATTAACATCCAAAAATAGATTCAAATGCCATGGCAACCATGCAATTGATAGTAACAATATACAAGGAAAGATTTGCACCTTAGATTCCCCTTCCCATATATATCAAGAAGATGAGATCATAGGACACAACAGTGTAAAAAGCATCGAACAAACAGCTTTTGAATTTGAGCAGAAATATAACCAAATGCTTAAAGATATCCTGCATATGCTTCTTCTTCAAGAATTTGATACTATAAATCTTTTAATAACCTCATTTGTGCCCCATTAACCAAAGGGTCCACAGCTCAGGGTCCAAATCCAGCCATGCATCAGACCTACCATGTCATCAATCTTTAGAATATGAACAAAACTAAGAACGTGGTTAACCACCCATTATATAATATATGCATTAGGACAAAGCAGAGACCACATAATAACTGAGCTAAACAACAGATACAAAGGTCCCTCAAATATGGAAATTCAGTTGCAAAAACTTTCCAAGTCAAGTCTGATTAGGAAGTCCCACATAACCTGTCATCAGAAACTACTATAAAACTCAAATTCCCACCACCACAGCCTAATGGAATCACTTTAAAAATTCTATACCAATCACATATTCTTCCCTTAAAACAAGAACTATTTCTTCTCCTTAGCAGACAGGGAAATGCACCAAAAAATAGTCACAGCCCCACCAGACTATTAGGTCCCATCTTAATAAAATGTTGTAAGTGCTCTCTCACCACTTTTAACATTCTAATTTCTTAGCAAGAAAGTTTCTTGCTAACACCTGGCTTCTTTTCTGAGGTTCTGCTCATTAAATACCAGTTCTACAGAAGAATCTCAACCAAGAGTTTATGGCTACAAGTCACTCTTGAAAACAGTCCTTTCACCTTCAGAAACCTTTTTATCTGCAGGTGTATTATTAGATTATCACACCAACATGTTACAATTCCAGTCTGACTAGATGAACCCATATGCAATATGCCAAATATGTCAAGTAAAATAACTTTCTTAGGTTTACCTCAAACTAGAACTTGTAACAAGCCAAGTAGTGGTCCAAACTATTCATTAACCTGTCAAATAGCCACTTATGTTTCTGGATGTCTCATTCAAAAGAGACAGATCCAATAGAGAGGGATAGCCCTTAGATTCCTTTTAATGGACAAAAGCACAGCTGTAAATGTCCAAAAAGAACTCAATTTCTTGTCATGGCATGGGTGACCAAGCATAGATACCACGCCAGGACGAAGGCAAGAAAGTTAATTGCCAAATTAGCACGCCACAATAACTATTAAACACCCAAGAGTATGGCCTAGTGGTCAACAAAGTGAGTTGAGAACCATGAGATATCATACTCAAATCCCAAAGGAGGCAAAAACACTAGGTGATTTTTTCCCATCTGTCCAATCCTTGGTGGACAACATCATCTGATACCTTTGTTGCTGGGAGGTAGCAGGTACCCCATGGAATTAGTTGAGGTGCGCGTAAGCTGGCCCGAACACCACGATTATTTAAAAAGTAAAAATATTAACTAGAAACTGGAAGGCACACTATATTAATAGACAGTATCTACACCCAAAAATGGACCTAATCATAGCACCCTGTCAAACAAACTATATTTTGCAGACTCATTTCTGCCCAGATGTATCATAACTGAAGAATAATATGCTATAGATCCACTTGTTGGTTTAAGTTTATAACTACCAAAGGATCCGCTGCTCATGGTCCATATCCAGCCATACATGCAACCTACCATTACCACCTTAAGAAAATGAACAAAGTAGAATGTGACTAATCACCAATTATATATATTATATAAAGGACAATGGAGAGACCACAGAGTTGAGCTAAGCAGCAGGTCATTATGGAAATTCAGTAGCAATTGCAAAGCTTTCAAAGTCAAATCTGATTTGGATGTCCCAAATACTCTGTCATTAGACTCGATTACAAATTAGTATAAAACTCAGTGCCACTATCCCTAATGGGATCACTTTAAAATCCATCAAATACTCTTCACTGAAAACAAGAATTATTTCTTCTCCTTAGCAAGGAGGGAAGCTGCACCAAACAATAACCACTGCCCCACCAGCAACTACAGCTCCTACCCTAATAAAATCTATCAACTTGCCCTATTAATATCCATCAAGTAGCTGTCGCTTGCAACAAGAGATTTTTCTTCTCCTTAGCAGGCAGGGAAATTACACTGAACAATCGCCAGAATATTTTCTTTTTAGTGATGTTGGTGTCCGGGCCAGCTTGTGCAATATTCTATCGGGTAGTGCTATCTCCCACCTGCACAGGTACCGGGTACCGGGTAACTCTGCAGATGGGAATCCACCCGGCTATATTATAGGCCCCACCTAATATAATGCTGCTAGGTCTCTCGCAACTTGCCTATTTCTCTTTTTCAAAGTAATCTAATTGATAACCAGGCCTACTTATAATTCATACCAGAAGGATTGAGGCTAATATCAGTCCTCATCTACCCCAAAAAGATTGGAGCTACTACACAACTGGACCAGCATACATTTCACCATTGGAAGGCTTTGTTATCTTCAAATGGATTATTAGGTTCACCCATCAACAAGTTACTAGTTTCCACTTTGCCAAGAATCAAGACTACCAACTTAAACCATAGGACCATTTTATCTATTAAAATCACTTTTTTAGCTTATACAAAACCTATAACTTCAAAAAGCAAATTCATGTATCAGTCAAGCCGGTACTTTAAGTTTCCATCAGCATTTTGCCATATTTTAACATGGCCCGCTATTATGACCTCACTTCACCTTCCCTTGCTGCAACTGGTGTTAACAAAAGTTCATCCCCTATTCCCCTATGAATAAACTCCACTTTAAAAACATAACTCGCGAACCGAAACACAGAATATCAACGTTCAACATTTATCATATTATGCATATGTACATGCCCATCGTCACTCCTCTGCACAAAACAACTCACAATAGTAGTTTTCAAACTTCTATTAATGACATCAAAATGTAAAGAACAAATAGATTCCAATATAAGGAAACAATTTGCTATTTATAATCTTCGATGAACAATTTAATTACATGATCAAAAGGAAGTCTTTAATAAACAAGCCAAGACTAAATGCAGGGTCCCGTATTGCGGGACATACCTGAATTTCCAATAAAAAGTGAAGAAGTCCAGATACAAGAAACTCATAATTCATGTAAGCTTCGTAAGTTTCAATAGACTATTGGAACAAAGGGGACTGAATATAAACTTAAACTAAAAGCTTCAAAACGTAAAGATAAGAGAATATAAGAAAGAATTACATTGCGGGCTCTCTTTAAGTTCAAAGGCACATTTGGCACTTGAGAGTTGAGGCAGTCTACCTTCTTGCCAGAAGTCAATTCTTACACTAATATTCCAGTGTCATCCTCCCCTTTTATATCATCTTCACAGATATCAAAAATAAATTCTTGCGTGCCAATTAAGAGCCAATATTAACATCCAGTTATTTACAATGACGATAAACTTGTCATCCACCAGTATTCAAGTTACCATCTTTTTTTTCTTTATGATCAAAGAAATCCGTCTGTGGCAAATCCTTTGGACCAACCACAACCATTGAAAACTCGGGAAAGATGGTCCCTGCCCCTCTACCCTTCTCCACTTAACTAACAGGTTAGTTCCCACCCCAACCTCTACGCCTTCTCGCTGTAGCTAAAAATACAGAAGACATCGAACTACTCCCGCTTCGATTTATTATCCTAGAATCTGAACTAGTGGAACTAGACGTTAAAGAAGAACCACCACCACCACCACCAAAACACGAAAACAAGTTGCCAAAAAACCTCCTCAATCCACCATTTCTCCGCGATTCGCTCCCTCTAGAGCCCCAAGAAATCCTCCTTGTAACCCCATTATTATTATTACTACTATTATTAAACCCACCATCCATTTCAGTGTACACAACAGGAAGTGCTCTCTCCCCACCACCCCTCCTCCCTCCTAACCTCCCAACAGCAAAACCACCACCAGGTAATCTCCATATTGTCAATCCAACAGCTTCCTCCTCCACTGCCTCTTCATTTCCTACTACAACGTTCTGTTCGTTCGAATCGACAACGTCCTGTGACTCTGTGGGCAATTCGTGCCTACAGACGGGGCACGAATTGCGCAATGAGAGCCATGGGAGTATGCAATCCGAATGGTACAAATGCTTACATGGCATTTCCCGTGCCTCGGTACCTAACTCGAATGGCTCCTTACACACTGCACAGTATGATTCAGTGGCAATATGGTCATTAAGTATCTCAATTGTGGGCAATGATTCTATTGCTGCTTTTGAAGCTGGAGGATTCTCCATTCTTCCAATACCATTGGCTTCAATTTGAGCAAGCTGATCCAACAGCCTGTCAAAACCCGACCCAAGTAAAAACTCCGACATAGTAGCCGGTAAGGGTCTTAAGCCCGACCCAGCTCCATCATCATAATATAGTTCAAATCCCCCTCCTCCTCCCCCTCCCCCTCCCCCTCCCCCCCCTCCTCCACCACGAAGGACGATGACGGGATTAAACGGTGACCGATCACCGCCTCCATTCCTCCGGTTCCGGCGAAGACCTGGACTTGACCCAGAACCATGACCCGTCCCGGAAATAGGACCCGTTCCTGGAGACTGATCGGAATTGCGCGGCGCGGGTAAACGGCGTCGGCGGGACCCGGAGAGAGAGGATCGGGTCGGAGCCTCGACTTCTTCGACGAATCCGGTGTTACAATCGGGGCATGTAACTGAATCCTCGTTGTATACTCTGTAAAATCTGTTGCATCTATAACACCAATACGTTGAAGACATCGAAAAATCTCTTAACTTCAAAACTCAGAAAAAGTCAACAAACTCGAAAACGGATTTAGTCCAAACCCGATTTCAGATCCGAAATTGCAACAAATTAATCCCAAAAAAGGAACTTCTAGAGCGATATTGTTGAACAAAATTTGGAAATGAGAGAATAGTGAGGGGAGAGAGAGAGAGAGAGAGAGAGAGAGAGAGAGAGAGAGAGAGAGAGATTGGGGGTGGAATGAATGGGGGAAGGAGACAAATATAAGGAGAAAGGGATATAGAGGGAATAATTTTAGGAGTGGAGGGTAAAATGGGAAAAGAGATGTGAGAGTGATGACTAGGAGTATGGCGTGTAATAGAAGACGGCAATTAATTGACACGTGTCCGTAGAAGAATGGTGTGTGTAGAATTTAATTAAAGTGAGGAGAGTCATTTATTCAAAGTGATTAAGCTAATAGTAATGAAATCTATTGCTCAAATACATTGTTACGACCTAACTATAATAAATTAATATAAGAGTATATAGCTCGCTTTATATAATAGTTTTTAGGTTAAATTTGATTTAGCGAAAGTATATTTAAATTAAGTTTTGTCTTCAATGAGTTGTACTTGCAACTATGACGTGATTCTATTGGTTAATTAAGGTGTATGTGCCCGTAGTTGTATTTGGAATAATTTGTTAGAGAAAATTTGCAAAAAATCAAAACGTAGTGTTTACTAGTATATAATTTCTTTTACATATAAAAAATAATAGAATATATTATTTAAGTTTTTTCTTCCGGGGAATATATTATTTAAGTGAGAACAGAAAAGCAAGATATTTTTTATAATTATTCTATTCTAGAATAGTCAACATTAAATTGCGCTTTCATTTTCTTTGTTTGATGACTTCCTTTTCTATCACCAGAATATACACATTAGAAAATCCATGTATATTTCAAACACATTTGGTTTCCCTCAATCATAAAAAAGTTTAAGGAAATACATTTAGTATCTATCTGCAAAATATGAGTTGCACATTCTTGATAAATCATCTAAGTACGCGAGTTCAAAATTTTCAAATATTCATTACTCTCAGTCTACATAATAAAAATATAATATATTTCAAGTTTTTCTATCTTTAGAAAATGCGAGTCGAAAGTAGTGAGTGTATTTGTTCGATTTATTGATAGTACAAATTGTAATTCGAATGAAATTAGATATGTGTCGAGTCTGGTTGTTTGTTCGAAGGAAGGGTTATTTGATTCGATCACCTACGTAAGTCGTTGGTAGGGAGCGCTTCCCTCCGAAAGGGGCCCTACGCGGCGCGAATCCAGATATAGTCGGGCTCCAATGCGGGGTACCGGATGCAGAGTGGGCAACCAAAAAAAAAAAACTACGTAAGTCGTAGTGCACGTACTCCTCCATATACGTAGGCTCCCTCGTTATATCTTAATCAGGAAGTTTTGATTATTATACAAGTATTTAGTTCGTGCAAGAGTGCGCAAGCTTTTTATTATTGCATTCTGCACCACATATAATAAACTTTTAGAATTTCCATTTTCAATAAGAAATCCAATTCAAGTGAAATGAGAATCTGTTGGTTCTTTCTTAAAAGGATCAAACCAGAATGAAGTAATCAGAAAATACTGTTTCACTTTATGAGAGAAAAGGGACTGAGAAAAGACTGCATATTTCACTCAAATCTACGCAGCGCACTAGAAAAGATTAAAGAAAAACTTAAAAAGGCAATGGACTCATCAAAAGGATAATATGTTAGTAAGTCTTCTCAGTTTTTTTTCCATAGTGTTCGTTGTTTGTATTGAAGTTCCTATTCATTTGAATTCATGTCACGTAAAATTCATCAAAGAGAAAAATACTCTCAATGGCTACATAAAGCATTGAATTTATATACCGGATACATAAAGCATTATGTATTTATTTTGAGGATCGCACTTTTAGGGGTGTGATATAAATAGTCTACCCTAATATGCAAGTATCAATGACTGCTTTTACGGTTCGAATATCTACTAAGGGGATTAAAAAACAAAGTTAAAAAAATTAAAAGAAACCGGAGCCAATGAGAATTAAACCAGTGACTTTATAATAGTTTGGAACCCCCCTTGACCACTGAGCTATGCTTTTGGACTGTTTTAAAGGGATTCAAAATATAATATATAGAGAAACAAAACAGAGCGTAGGGGGTTGGGTGCAGAGGCGGATCCAAGATTTCAAGAGAATGGGTGCACTATTGTGAAAAGGTGTATATAGAATTTATATTTGGTTGGTTTAGCTTTAGATTCTTATCATGACCCACTACACTTTTAAATTTATAGGTTCAAAATTATATTTTTTTTTTTTGAAATTTTAGTAACTTTCACATATATATTTATACTCTGTGCAGAAAACGAGACCGTTCAGAGTGGGGATTCGAACTGTCAATTTTACTTGTAGAGGTGCGCCCAATAATAATTGCACCATAATAGTCTTTGAGCATGGGTTTACGCACATATAGTTAAGTAATTTAAAAAAAATATAACATTGTTATACATGGTTTAAAGAGAGGAGCATGGGTTCACATAAACCCATACCCCTCAACTTGAATACGCCTCTGTTCGGGTGAATCCCTTCCGTCCCCCTAAATCCATCACTGCTTATAGATTACATAGAGACAATTTTACCATTGTTCTAAAGCTCCCCTTCTTAAAAGGGAGAAAAGCTTTTTATCATAATTTTTTTTGTTTCAAAACTTAAACCCGAGACCTCTTATTAAGGATAAAGTGATCATATTCGTTCACATTCATCTTTAGTGGTAAGTCTTCTCAGTTTCTCACGAACAAATTTGTCATGCTTTACAGTTGGTTATTCTTGTCATTTTGCTAACTGTTGGTGTCAATTAAAGTTGGTAATTGTGAGGGCTTTAAGGATTATTGTTCTTTTCATTTTTACTTTTGGAAGATAAATACTGCTGGTCTAAAAGTTGCGTTACTATGAGGACTTTAAAGATTATATTAGGTCTTTTCTTTTTTCTTTTTGAGGGATGCTTTGCTTTATGTTTTTGGTGAAAAAGTATAGTAGTAATAAGTGAACTTTGCAATCCATATCTGCTTTTCGATGGATATCCACTTTAAAGATTAATCTGAATTCTCTGGAAAAGTTTAAGATTCAAACACAAAATTTCTGGTTAAAAATAGAAAATATTTATAAATATACTGTATTGGGAAAAAACTGAATTTAAATATTGAAGATGACGTGTCATGACACGTGGACCGGTCAAATAGTCAAAGCGTGGTAATCAGTTAGAAGGCACGAGCAACAACAGATGCGGGAGAGAAGATACTTAAAGTCACGAGCTATTATTCAAATGAAATGAGACTCGTACCTGTTCGAGTCATTTAAAGATCGAAGATCAAAAGGAATTGAAGACATGAATCTGATAGCGTAAAAGAGTCCAAATTCAGCATTAAACGCCAAATACGTTAGAGAATTTGTATTTAATAGGAATGATTGAGTAACGTTTCTTTTAATGTCATTTATTGCTCGTAATTGCCTCATTAAGACAAAGGCATTACACTTTCTCTTAGAATTAACTATAAAAGAAGAAGGTCTCAACATCTGGAGGACACGATATATCATTGCGATTATACTGAAATATATACTTATTCATTGCTTTATTGTTGTTCTCAAAGTCTCTCATTTCTTGATTATCAATAACCCGATTTCTCTCTTAAATTCTAGCTTTAACCAAATATTCAGTTTTTTGGTTAAACAAATTGGTTCCGTTACCGGGAATCCGATAATCTAGTTTTTTTAAGTTACATTTTATCTGTTGTTATCATCATGTCAAACAACAACAACAATAATAACAGTGAAAATACCTTGGGAAACCATGAAAATCAAATCCATCAAAATCAAGGTGATTTACAAAACATTAACGTGGTTCCTTCCCCTCAAAATTCACCACGTCAATCTCGTGAAGGCACTCCTACTCCTGAATCTCGTGCTGTTGAACAAGAGCAATCTGAATATTTTGAAGGAGCAAATGACGCTTTACAGAAAGTAATTGATGCACGGGTTAGCAAAGCTCTTCAAGCTCCAGTTAGTCGATTACCTGTTGCACCACCCACACCTACGCCTAATAACAATACATTGGAGAATCCTCGTTCTGGCCTTGTTAATTCTAGAAATGGAGGAACCCCCAGTGAACCACAGGAAGGAGAACCAGGTAATTCAAATAATTCTCATTTGCAAAATTTAGTACTAACTTTGCAGAAACAGCTTAAGGAACAAAATGAGCGTATCGAGCGAATCCCTGGAGTTCCCCCTGTAATCAAAGGAGTGGATGTGGATAAATACTCGCAACAACCTTGGAAACCAAGTGTTGCTCCCCTTCCAATCCCTAAAAAGTTCAAAATGCCTGACATCTCGAAATATGATGGCACGACAGACCCACGTGATCATGTAACTGCATTTACTACAGGTGTAAAAGGCAACGATTTGACCAAGCAAGAAATTGAATCCGTGTTGGTCAAAAAATTTGGAGAAACACTCACCAAGGGTGCATTAACCTGGTATTCTCTTTTACCTGAAAATTCTATAAACTCTTTTGCTGAGCTTGCAGATTCTTTTATTAAAGCGCACTCGGGAGCTCAAAAGGTTGAAAAAAGAATGGAAGACATTTTCAAAATTAAACAAGGGGACTCAGAGTTGCTCAGAGATTTTGTTGATAGATTCCAACGTGAAAGGATGACTTTACCCCGTGTACCTGATAATTTGGCTGCAATAGCTTTTGCAAGCAACTTAAATGATAAAAGTTCAGAAGCCACGAGAAGACTTAAAGAAATCCTTCGAGAGTTCCCTGCAACCACGTGGAATGACGTTTATAACAGGTACAGTACGAAGTTGCGAATTGAGGAAGATACCGTACCTCAGTTTCATCATGAAGAAAGAAGCAATTCCAGGAGGTCAGAAACCGAAAAAAGATCAGGTAAAAACGGATACGATCCATATATGGGACCTACAAGAAAAGACTCACGGTCAAAGGAGGATAATCAACGATATGATCAAAAATCGAGGAACAGGGAATCTGGTTCTTCATCAAGGTTCAGAAATGACCGAAACAGACAAGAGTCACGAGATGATGACATAGGTTTAAAAGCGAGATTCAGTGGGTATAATTTCAATGTCACTACCTCCGAGCTCGTAGCTGTTTTAAGGAGCATGGGAGACAAGGTACGCTGG